TCTCTTCTAAAATCTGAAAACCCAGTCTTATTAAAAACGTGGATACATTTAGCTTGAAAAGAGAAACTGGAAAGTAGATAGGGCAACCATCTGCCATGCAGAAGAGGGAGCAGATTTGTTCTATGTTCTCCAAAAGACACGGTTTGAATCAAGAGATTGATACGGCAAAGCAGACTTCCCCAACCTAGTACTCTCCCAACAGGCGGAGACCGAAAGTTTTAGCATTTCAATCCTAGACTTTTTAGCTAGGAACGTCTGCAGAGCGCTGTGTTACAAAAGGAAAAAACTTCCTAATCATGCTATTTTTCTTTCACTGGAAGTATTTAAAGCATAGCTTGACTTGACTTCACTGAGTGATCTTCCAGATGCCCTCTAAGTTAAAATTTTACAAATCTCTGGTTTGGATGAACACAGACATTATATTTTAGCACATTTATCTGCTGAAAAAGAGACACCATTATAAAAAAAAAAATCCAAAAGAGCTTTCGTTTTCAAATTCTATGTCTGGAAAAGAAAAAATTACAGATTCTGCAAATCCACAGTGCAACCTAGCTCAGTGATTATTGGCTGATTCCACACAATATTACCATGACATCTCTCTCAGTCCCACTCCTGACTGTAAGAGCAGTTGTCCTAAAATAGATATGTTTTACAATGAAAAAATGAAGAATTCATGAACAATCTACTGAGAATTCTGTGTTGCTCAGAGCCCCTTGGAATTTAGTGGCATAGAAAGATTAATAATACATAAATAAATGTCTTGTGCACCTGCCGTATTGCAACATTCCCTTATTCATAACCTTCCAGATTTGGAAGGTTCTAATATAATATTCTAATGTCCCTGATCTGAATTCCAATTGGAGAAGGCTACCTTATTCAAAAGGTAGTACAGCTGGGCCAGTTGCAACTGCAACAAGACACAGTGACATCAGAACAACCACAGATGCATAAGATCATTGCACAAATAATCGGTGCGTATTTACATAATGATGTCTAACACAAGTATGTAACGTGCTTCAGTTGTGCCATGACATTATGATGCACGTGTTGTTATTTTTCTCTGTTAACTCTTTACGGATGCCTGCAACTAATGCTTGTGCAGAATTTTTCCATCAGTTCTGCTGGATATTAATAAGTAATGTTGGCAGTGAGTACCCTTTGGGTTTCTTCAGCTCAAAACTGAAATGCCTTAGGTAAGGCCCTAGAAGAAAGGATATCACTGAGTGGCTTTCAGAGTGTGAAAGAGAAAAAAGCTGGATGCCACAATTTTTATGCCATCAGCAAAAACCCTCTCAGTACATTTAGACAAGTTGCGATCAGCGCAGAGGGTCTGTGTGGCATTACAAGTGTAAGTACACAAAATCAGCACGCCTGTCACAGGGAAAAGCCTCCATCTGGAATAAGAGAAGATGTCATCATTCCAGATGAGCTAGCAAAAATGTATCACTAGCTCAGCAGGAGCCGGACCACTGTTACCTTTTCTTAAACACAACTATTCAAGCCTTTTGAAAAGCCCTGGCTAAACCCAAGAGGGCTGCATACATGCAACACACTTAACCTGGTGGATGAACTCACCCATTTTTCAGTACGATGCATTGTACCATGAACTAACCCACATAGCTGGATTTACAAAAGTCTCTAAACCAGGGAATTCTGGGAGTTGAACTCCACCCATCTCCAAGTTGTCAAGGTTGAGAAACACTGCTCTAAGCTATAAAACAGTGGTGGCGAACCTATGGCACGTGTGCCAGAGGCGGCACTCGGAGCCCTCTCTGTGGGCACACACACCATTGTCCCAGCCCCATCTCCCACGGCCCCCTCACCAGCAGGTCCCTGGAGGAGAGCCACCTCCAGGCGTGGCCCACGCAAAGCAGCACAGCTAAGGACATGGTAGCCGTGCAGTGGGGACAAGACTCTGCCCTTGCAGCCCGTCATGCACATCTGATGCTGTGGGGCATGGGCAGAGGGTGTGGCCGCCACGGCGCTGCTGGGCTGCCTTGATCTGAGGCGGGTCATGGAGGTGGCAAGGCGGAGTGGGGACGGGGGTGGGGGGGCAGTTTTTGGGCACTCGTTTCTCTAAAAGGTTCACCATCACTGCTATAAAATATTAACCAGATTTAATATGAATTAAAGACCACATGCTGTGTGAATGGCCCCATTAGGTTTGTAAATCATCTCATTAGGTTTGTTATCAGAACAGAACCAATTTGTATCAGTCTCATGCCAATTGTAATTTTCATGGCTTCCTTGGAACAGCAGTTTGGGAAAGGTGCTAGCTAAGACGTCTGATCTAGCTTCCTGTCTCCAATTCCTTACAATAATAGGTTATTCAAACACCCTGATTCCTTATTAATCAAGGTGCTCGGAAGTTTCACACATTCAGAAAAAAGGTCCCCTATTCGCAAATATGAGTGAAATCACAGGATTGTGGTTATATATATATGACTATGTCAAAAACAAAGTGAAGAAGCCTATTTTGGAAGATCACTTCTAACTAATGTAAGCAACTCATCATCCAGCAACTAAAATTATCAACACTGAACAGTACCATGCAAAGCTCCAGTTGTAACATACACAGACACACACACTATCCCAAGGGATTATTCTCTTTTGTCAGCACTAGTCAACAAAGTAGCTCTTATGAAATGAAACCACAGCTGGGAAAATACAGACATAACCTGAAAGCCACAGGGATAATGTTACCAAAATCCTTTATACAAAAGAATTCTGCATTGTTAAAAATGGGGAGAAGTTAAAAATACGTTGTTGAATACCATGGCAAACCAATTCTTCATGTTTTGCAATCTTTCTAGCCTCCCTCATTATCTTAGGTTACAGTACTTGTTAGTCATAGCCAACAGTCCTGCTCTTTGTGTGATCGTGCCACATTCTAGTATAGATTTAAGCAAAGAAGCAATCCCAAACACAATGAAACTTGATTGGTGCATTTTTCAATTAATTATGGCTGTCGTAGTGACTAAAACCAAGCAAATAAGCAAATCTAAAGTAGCAGCCTCCCGTTATAGCAGTTACTGCGACATCCATTATTCTCCCTGAGCTCTGCCAATGTCTGAAATGAGTGAGGACAATGGGCCTTGAAGATCACCACATCTGGAGCAGAAGATCCCATGCTGTGAAAAGCTACACATTAAATGAATAGACTTGACTTGGATTCAATTCCAAATTCAGCCACATACAAGTAGGTTCACTGGGTGGGCTTGTATGTATGGGCCTGTCAGTCTAATCTAGTGTATGCAACTGTTGTGAGGCCTAAATGTGTGGGAATTTCTATTTATTGCAGCATTACCTTCCATGGAAAAAGAACAGGCTAGAAATGTAACCGAAAAGTAGTCACTTCTAAATGGGAATATGCTATGTTATTCTACTCTTTTACTCCTTTCTTTGGCTCTATGGAAGCTGTAACTTTCTCCCAATCAACACATCCAGACAGACAGGCATTCTCATTCACATAATCCTGGCATCCAGGACTGAAAATACCTTTATTGCCTTTCTGTTCGTGGCTGTAAAGAATGTCCCACTAATAAATGAAATAACAAATAATTTGTTGCCTTGACATGAAACTCAAGACTGCCACCTCATTTTGTGTAATGTGAAAGCAGACCTTGCCAGTAGGTCGCAGAAGGGGCTCAAATAGACAATTCATGTCCCTCTCCCTTTCTTTCTCAGTGCTTCTGTTTGATCCACTCTTCCTGTCACCTGGTCCAGCTCTGCTACACCAATTTTGCTGGCCACCAATTTAAGTTCAAAATCCAGTTGATATGTATCTGGGTTGGGTTTATTCTGGTGTAAAGATGACAACGATGGCAAATATAGGTAAGCCTTATGTGTGTGTTGTAGGAAGGGGGGGGGGGTAATAACAACTTCTTGGAATTGTGCTTAATTCCTGATGTCTGATATGGACATATCTATACAGTGTTTTTGACAGCAGCAGGCAAGTGGCTTGTCATTGCCTTCTTCTAGATATGTTACTGATGTGTTCACAATCTAGCCTTCAGCCTGATATTTATATTAGGCGCCCATTCAAGTGTTAACCAAACCTGCAACATGGAGAAGTTGCATTTAAGGATCACAAATTCCTGACATGTACCATGTTCTCCTCAAATTTTCTGTTTTAGTTGCTTACTTGACCCTGCAGAAACAGGTCAATGTCAAGCATCCAGCAAGCTGTAAGATATAGTTACTGTTTCCCATGGTGACTCATAGTGTTGCAGTCAGCTAGCATATTAACAGAAATATCCATCGATCTTGGCTCAGTCCTCCTCATCTTTTATTTTCACTATTCCACTCCTCCTTTCTTTTCCACGCATGGCTATGTTTGCACAACACCCTGAACCATAAATTAGTCCACCACATTTTAATGTGATAGGCAAATATCCCACATAAGATTAGTTTATGGTTCAATGTAGCATGAGCCTAAAACACTGCGGTCACTGAGAAAACCATACTTAACATCTATCATATGAAGGTAGCCATAATGTTTCTTTCAAAACCTAAGCCTTTTGGCAAAACCATATTTAATTACGTTTCCACTGTCTACTGTAGCATGGAGCAAGTACTTGATGAATATGTATTACCAACTAATAACCACAGGAACTTGCTTAGGCAGTTGCCAGGAGTCAACACTGACTTGAAGGCACACAAAATATATATATACTAATTATAAAGTTGATGAGCAACTTTATCCAGTAGGTAAAATATCTACATGCTGAGACTATAGGAATTGAATTTAACCAAAATATATTTATTTTCATCTCCTACCCCAACTAAATTTCCCTTTCCCATTTAAAACCCACAACAAAAAAGTCCTAAACTCAGATTTATCCAAGGAAGATACCAATATCACATAGGCTCTGAAAAGAATGCAGGCAACAGAGAGTTAGGAAAGGAGAAGAGTGGGGAAAGAGAAGCTAATTTCAAGAACTTATAAGAAAGGGCTAAAGACAGCAAAATAATGTTTTCTTTTAAAAAATGCAACTGACCTGACAGTTCTTGAATTTTCCCCATCCGACCTGCAAAACAAGGAAACAAAGAAAGTCAGAGTAAAGCTAAAGGGTCACATTCAATGACTGAGGGTAGCGGTTCGGACAATGCCTGGCACTAGGGGTGACCTTGGCTAGGTTTGAAAAAGACAATTAAGATATGAATAAAAGCAAACAAAACAAAACAAAAACAGATTGTCCAAAATAGTGTGCTGGTCCTGGCTTGACTTTAACTTGAACCAGCTGTTTAATAATATTTTGTTGGGAACAGCTGAGAGACAGATAACAATATTTTTGTCTTGTGGCACATCAAAGATGACTCAAAAGAAAAGGCTCTTTTGTGAAATATTTCATATCCCCCCACCCCAAAACAGAAATCATTTTTCTGGGGGGAGGGGAGACTGTACTTTCTGCTTTGCTCACTAATTGGAATGTAATTCCCTGGTGAGCCGGAAACTTTAAAAAAAAAAAAAAAAAAAAGCAAAACATTCTCAGTTGAAAAATATTTTGAAGGAAACATCATACCTTCCCTTACTAAAAATAAAAGACATAAGTAAAAAGGAATAACTTCAAGATGTTGTTTCAAAAATAAACTTATAAATGTTTAGAAGACCCTTATTTTATGTCTATGGAGATCCTCAGTCATCCAGTTCATGGTTGTCCCAAAAGTGCTTTTTCTATTTGGGCCTATGAGTAGAGTATAAACCGTTGAAATAAATGTGGATGAGACTACTAAGATTACATTGTTCTTCCTGATTTTGGGCAGTTTCTTTTTTGTTATTTATTTATTTAAGTTAACCCTATTTTGATACTTAAGACTAGCTTTTATCAGCATCCTAACTTAAAAGGATAGGAATCAGAAACTGGGGTTGAAAAGAGGTTGAGGATTGCAAAAATTAGACTCTTGGACATGTGCAGCCCACCCTTGAGGTTCTATGTATGTAAACACTGGACTGCAAAACCAGCTCTTTTGTAAGCACATATGCTCCAGTTATTAATAAAAAATGCTTAATCCCAATAAAATTTGATTGCCAAGAAATTTAAGGCCACACCTCCTCATCCAACAACCTTCTGTCTGGCAATTGGGACCAATCAGCTAGTTTGATTACTTCTTGTCCTTAACTGATTTCTTGTAATTGCTTGTATCTGATGTGTTATAATGAGGGAAGCAAAAGAAATTATTGCCACATGGATTTTTGCTAGAAAAAAAAGTAAAATGACACCATTGCACATGATTCCAATAAACAGCAAGTCTGAAATTAAAAGCTGGGAAAGGCTTCCCAGAAAACAGGCAATTCCCCCCCCCCCAACATTTTTGAATAGAATCTTTTAATACTAACGTGATTCCCCTATTAAACAAAAGAAGCCTCCTATTTTTTAAATTTGGATTTTAATAAATTCAAAATAAGCCATATAAGTGCACCATATCTCTCTGATATCTTTGCATTAAAAACACTGTAAGAAGGGAATAGATTTACTTATTATTCCTGCTGAACAAAAGGGCTACTTACATACTTTTTCCTGACATTCAAAGAAAGATTAGCATAGCAACTCTCACTTTGAAAAGAAAGAATATGGGAAGGCCTAATGGGTACACTGTCATTGGCACGGTGGCTGGTGAAGGGCCTCTGATGTCCACATTACAGAAAGGTTTGGAGAACATCCAAATTATGTCTTTTAAAATATTCCTCTTACCAATGCCTCTCTTGTGTAAACACTTGGCTTTTGAAAGTAGAGTGGGGAAGTTATGATGAGATGATTAAGGTAACTTCACACAATCATGACTGAGAACAGAACATAAAGTAGGTGCATGGAATATCCAAAATGCATTAGTAAATGAATTTGACTAATGCATTTCTACAATAATGATCACTACAGCTAACATTGGAAAGGACTTTGATTGGCCAGTCATGTCCACCATTTTGAAGCCAGTGACTATCGCTGAGGTTATCTCTGCTCCTTTCCTCCCCACAGACATTTGCAATAGCACAAATCTAATATTATGTCCTGTAGAAAGCTGTTACTATGATACATAATCAGCAACCTAAAAGAAAGTTTCAGAAACCCAACACACTAATTTGGGACAACACCTCTCCTTTTCTTCTCTAAGCAGGAAGAAAATTAGGGCTGAGTAAGAGTTTTTTTCTAGTTCATTGTTCCTCCTTCACCACTAAATTAGAATTACCAAATTTGGGGTGCTCCAAATCTAGAAGAACCTTGAGATGGCAGCAAAGGGATGCAAATGAAGTAATCTTTGCTGCTACCTAGTGGACATCTCTGGTAACCATTATCTAACTTAAATTCATCCAAATAAGCACCCGTCGTTTTAGGTTAAAATCAGTGAAGTTACTGTTATTTTACAAATAAAAACAACAGCTCACAAGAGCAAGCCTAGCTGTGAGATAGGAGCAACATATGGGGACTCCCCCAGAAATTATCTTAGGGTCTATTTCTATGCAAATAGAAAATTTAAAAAATGAATCTTCTTGAACAAACTATGCTTATATAATCCTTCTGCACTTCATTTGATATATCATTATTTGTAAACTCATGGGGGGATTGAGGGGGGGGAAATAAGTCTTGAGTTATAATTCTACCAGCATTAAGTCAAGCCAAGAGAACAGAGAGTGTAACTCAGACAATGTTTGCTACTAAGTTCACCCTGGGTTGCTTACTGAAGGATCAACTACACATAAGGAAAATAAAGTAAACTATATAAACTGTTTTCAACAATGGAGCAACCGATCCAGTGAGGGCGGGACAAAAAGCAATGAGGTTACACTACACATATAGATTTATACTAGGCAGGAGCAACACTTTCTTAACTAATCAGAGCTGTTCAGTGATGGATCAAAAGTCTCACTTCATCCCGCTCCCTGAAATCCTGGAACAAATGTCTACTGGGAAGAGCTTCCTAGAAAGAGAAAGTGACTGCTAAAACAATTAAAGCATGTAGTCTATATACGTCCCTTAGGAGCTCAAGATTTCATTTCCTGTAACTTGGAAATTCTCAGAGGGGCTTACTAAGAAATATGTACTAGATCATATCTGGGGAAAAAATAACTGATTTGAGAAAATATCAGGATGAGGCTATTCTAAACAGGGAAGCATCTGGTTCTGATCTTTCACCACAGCAGCCAAGGAAAAACTATATTGTTATAGCAGAATCACAAATGAAGGATAAACAGTTGGCTTCACACATCACACAAAGCCAATATAGAGATACAAGGTTGTGTGAACCAAAGTGCAATTAAGCAAATCACAGTTTGCAGCCAACCTCACAAGGGTGCTCTAGGGCCCCAAAATGGAGGCTAGGAGTTGCATGTGGAATTAAGCCCAATGTCTCTGAAAATATGAAGAGTACTATTAGTTGTTTTCTACATATATGTGGATCAAGAATTGATTTCCATGTGAAGGAACCCAAGACTGACTTTTAAACCAAACAGAGTCTCAACCCTGTCGTTTAGAATTAAGCTAGTGTTAGGGTTTAATCTCTTCATTCTTTGGGCAAAGACCTACATATCCAGAGCTTATCCACATTCTTAAAATATCAGTGGATATTTACATTTACTTGTAGGCTAGTTTAAAAAAAATCATACTGAACCTCTCAAAAATTTGAGCCAATTTAGCGACGAGCAAACCAAGCTATGGCTCAGAAGTTTATTTTGAAAACTTTTTTAAATACCAGGGCTATGAGGATGAGGTTTAACTTCCAACAGAGAAATCTCTCTGCACGAATGTGCCTTTATATGGCTGGGCCTCTGGAAAGCATCTTTCAGAGCATTAGGGGTTTTTGAGGGAAGCGTGATAGTCACCTAGACCCATTTTAGAAAGTGAGTAATAGATTCAACACGTCTTCAGAACTGCGAAGCATATATGCCTATGAAATTTGTGCTCTCTTCAGAAAAGTCAGCTATCTGAAAAGGCACAGTTCCCTAAAAATGGGAAACTCGAGGCAAGCAAATACCATCCTCCGCTGAGACTTATCGAAGATATTTAAAGTGAAGAAAATTATCTGAAAATCTTTCCTCCAAACAGGAGGGAGGATCTCCACTCTGCAACATGAGGCTATGGATCAGGGGCCACGTGTTAATAAAAGCTGCCTCAAACTCTCTTGGGAATGCTGCTAAACAATGTGTGACTTACATAGCCAAGCACGACTGAGTAGGTAAAAAATCCTTTTCTCCCAGCCTAAAATGATTACTTTTCCATGGTGCAAGCACATGGAAACAGGAGAGCTGGCAAGCACCAATCAGCCTCCGGGTCTCTTGATGAAAAACCAAACTAGGAAAAAACAAGTCATCTCCACCCGGTAGTTTGGGGGAGGGGAGGGGGGAGGGAAACGCTATCAGGCCAAAGTCCAAAAAAAAGACAACTGAAGTTGATGCATGAGTTATTTTTGTCCCACTGCAGGCTTAACTGTAGATTAGCTTATAGAGCCTAAAACAAACACAAATACAATGATGTATTTATCTTTGGTTGCATTTCTCCCCTGCTTTCCTTTCAATCAAGGCTGGTTCTGATCTTTGCCCTATAGAAGCTCCACTGCCAAATAGCCCTGTAATCAGCCTTGCTTATCAGACTCTTCCTGCCCTTTAAGTTTAGCTTTTTGGGGGGGGGGGGAATTTGATAGGATGCTTTTGACAAATTTCAATTCACTTCATGCTATGAGGCACAAAATGATCACAGGGATTAAGCCAGCCTACTCCAACTTGGTCCCTTCTAAACACATCAAATGGCAACCTCCATAATTCCAAACCAACAGAGGTCAACAACCATCACATACGGAGCACACCAGATGGGCTGCTTTGAGATTGCATGAATTTAAAAAAAAACCAGAATAAATATGAAATCCTAAAGACAACTTTAGATTTATTATGTCAAGCTATCCCCAGGGATGGCTCATTGCTCATTATTTTTTGCTATCTGCGCATGGAACTGACATGTCGGAAGAAGATTTTAGTTCAAAAGTTCACTATTGCACTCTCTCTTGGGAGTATCCAGATGACATTTCAGTAGCAGGGTTCTTG